TGGTAAAGTTCTTAATGTGTACCGATTCTCCAGAAATCATTGTCTTTCACTGGGCCGTATATTTTCCGTAGGATTTTCCTCTCCCATGTGTTGAGCAGGTATTCTGTTTTTCTGGTGAGGGTCCAAGTCTCACTAGCATACGTTATTACTGCGTCTTATGATAGTGATGTATATGGTCTTCTTTGTCCCCCCCACGATTCATTCACCACTCTAAATTTCTGAGAAAGTCCGCAACTTCAAAGTGATTTAGAAACACACTGCGCGGTTACAGAATGATAAGCGAAGCAAAACGGACTACGTCACACCATCAGCATGGCGAAATTCGGCGCCAGAGCGGCCTGGCAGGGGATATACACAAAAAAAGAGGGGGGGGGGGGACACAGGATTTCCCCCCCCCCCCCCCCCCNTTTTTTTTTGGTTAAGAAATCGATCCGTGCCGGGGCGGGGGGTGGGGTTAAGGTAAGGATATCACTATTTAAAGGTTCACATATTTCACTGTACAATTATGAAAAAGCAACAACTCTTATTTACCGGTACCGGTGAAAAGTAAAAAATCTACTCAAAAAACCTATTAAAAGTCTATGCACCAGGAAGCAAGTCGCATTAAAAATTATGAAAATATGATACCGGTATGTGAAATCCGTCATTTCAATGAATCCGCAACATATATGTATTATACATTTAGTAGGGGATGGGGGGAGGGCATCTTACGTACAGAAAGTTCAATGATTATAATGGGACACAACCAATTAATTTTGTTAAGGGAAACAGCGTTAGTTAGAGTTATTAAGAGAGGATGATTTTATTTTTTTGAAATTATAACTTAACAAAATACTATGGCATTATTTTAAATTTTTGAGATAATAGGAAGAAAAAATACTAATTTTTTTTGTTTAATTTTTTTTTTAAAAATGAATAATTGTTACATATTGAATTTAAAAAAAATTTAAAAGTTAATAATTTAAAAAAAAAAAAAAAAAATTAAATCAATTTAATTTTTTTTTTTTTTAAATCAAGTTAAAATTTAATAAAACAAATCAATTTTAAAATCAATTTAGTTTAATTTAAAATGAAAACTCGACCACCACCATTGAAGTATCGGCACTTCAAAAATATAGTAAAAAAAACACTAAACAATTTCAGCAAAATTTAAAAACAAAGTGGTTTGACTGGTTTTCGTGAACGACAAATTGGTCTCAGCCCGGTATTGTATCCCAAGCCCGAACAATCAATTCCCGTGTTAGGTTACCAAACCTGCTTCGATGGTTGACCGTTGAGCCTGGCTAAAACTAAACGCTAAAGCTAGGAAGATCAGTGGAAACAGTTTGAATTGCCCCTGTACAAGCAGTATCCATTGGCCCACATATCTGGGAAGCCGTTAATGTACAAGCAGTATCCATTGGCCCACATATCTGGGAAGCCGTTAATGTACAAGCAGTATCCATTGGCTCACATATCTGGGAAGCCGTTAATGTACAAGCAGTATCCATTGGCCCACATATCTGGGAAGCCGTTAATGTACAGGCAGTATCCATTGGCCCACATATCTGGGAAGCCGTTAATGTACAGGCAGTATGCATTGACCCACATATCTGGGAAGTCGTTAATGTACAAGCAGTATCCATTGGCCCACATATCTGGGAAGCCGTTAATGTACAAGCAGTATCCATTGGCCCACATATCTGGGAAGTCGTTAATGTACAAGCAGTATCCATTGGCCCACATATCTGGGACGCCGTTAAATAACTTTTCATTTGTGATTAATTTTTTTTGTACAGGATTTTTTTGGATTTATTTCAATTTTTAAAGTAATTTATATTATATAATATTTTTTAAATTTCGGGAGTCAATAAAATATTAAATATGGCCCCTTGAATTTTAAGGCCTCTTCGTCCATGGATTCGACCGAATATCTACTTTCCTACTTTGTTTAATAAATATATATAAAAAAATACAGGCTGATTAATTAAATAAATTAGTTAAGTGTAGGACCTAATACAGGAACACAAAAGAAACATTTAAAAAAAATGAAATTATGGCCAAAAATGTTTATCATAATCATTATTTATTAATTTTAATAAATTAGCCACCTTAGCATATTGTAGACAATCATAGGCCAAAGTATAGGAATAGGACAGGCTAATTATTTAGATCGACGTTTATTTTATTTAAAAAAAAAAAAAGAACAAGAATAGTCTAATAACAGTTAAAAGTATAGGCCGTAATAGGCCAACGCCAATAAACTTGTAAGGTATACATTATGTGTGTATAACAACGTCAAAGAAAACGCACCCTGCCTGTTTAATTTAAAGGCCTGTGCCTAAACTGAGTAAAGTCAAGTTTCAGTTAAATAAAGTCAAGTCTTTATTATTATTAAGAAGTATAGACAGTGTAGTAGTGTATAGTATAGAATAATATTATAATACTCACCTCCTTTTGACTTTGGCATAGTCGTTGGGTTGTGTTGAGTAATCCAGTATTGTTTATTTAAGAGTTTTTGTTTTTAAATGCCACGCCATAGCACGTAAATATCCCCATTCATCCAATACTTAAGAAACACTGGCACCGAGGCAGGCTTCTTATCGACAATAGGATATTACCGTTAGACCCGTTGCTAGGTGTCATTGGTCGCCATTTTGATTATTGATTACGCGCTGAATCGGGTCGTTCCGATTGTGAAAGCACCGTAAAGATTTATCTTCAAACTTAACCAGTATGCACATAAAAATATACGTTCGCAGTTTGGTACAGTGGAACTGCATCTTTGAAGTAATAAGTATATCAGATATGGTTCCCAGACAAGGGAACTCACAATTGAGGAAAAACAAACCAAAACAGTTGGGTGGGGTGGAGAGAGAGAGATGAAAGGCGCACTCATATTCTGCGTTGAGAAAATTGTTCAGTTTATGTGATATTACTAATTACTTGGTTTCTTGATAAGTAATTTGATCGGAGTCTGGTTTTAGAAGATTAATTCCCACACTAGCAGCAGGGTTCAACCTGTAAATTTATTATATTTTACATCGAATCCCTTTTTACTGTTTACTTACATACTTTTTCATACCGTCGTAAGAAGGCCATCATCAATCAAAGGCGTCCATGTACTCAAGAAGCTAATATAAGAAAAACTGCCTAGACTTTTATCTATAGTGTGTAGATTTATGGGAAAATTTCAACTTAATGATTAATGGGAAGGTAGGCTATAACTTTTTTTAAATAAACCGTAACTTACATAACAATAAATTTGCGAATGATCAAAAACCTTGTTAGCAAACCCATCACCAGCGCTCGCTTTATCATCAAGGTGGGCAAGATGACACCTGAAATGACTATTGAAATATAGTTAGCAATAGACTATTGCTAACTATATTTATATATCTAGAGCAGGCCTGCGCAACTCAAAATGTAAGATGGACCGTAACAGTAACACTTTATGAAAATCTTGTGCGGGCCGAAAGATAATAGGGCAAGGGGGTCGGGGAAGCTTTTAAGAAAATAATAATAAAGAATATTACGTTAATTGGCGGGCCGCATGTTGTGCAGGCCTGATCTGGAGGAAATACTTTCTTCTAGTTTTTTTTCTTTCTTTCCTTGTTGCACATCACTACTTTGACCCCCCCCCCCCCCC